GAACAGCCTGGGCATAATTAGGGCGCACAAAACGCACTATGTACTCACATTCCAGGCATCACCTTTCAGGCTGTGCTGCCGCTGAATAAGGCAAGTCGTGAGTTCAGAAAGTGACAAATGTTCCCCTGGCCCAGGCTGTCCCTCCAGCCCCAGGTTCTGCTGCAGAGGCTGCAACAGGAGGGGCTATCTTGGGGGCCTGGCTCCTTCTACAGCCCCTTCCTCCAGCACCCCACTTTCTCATCCTATTGTTAGAGGCTACACCTCTGTCATGCATTTGCAACCTAGAATGTGCCTAATCTCTTTCCGAACATGCAGATACAGCATCCGCAACCCTGGTGGCACAAAGTTTACCACCTGCACCTGTATTTTTTTTAGTGTCTGCATTACACCAACCTCCTTCAGCTCTGCACACCACCAAATGGGCATGGTGGGTGTTTGGTTGCCACCCTGAGTCAAAGGCTCAGAAACCCATCAATGATGTCTCAGCACATCCCAGTGAGTCTATGGGGTTTGGTGAGCTAGCTGTGCCTGGGAGCACAGGTGGGTAGGGCAAACCCCTGTGCCACTCGTCTGTGCTGCTCCTCTGGGTTCCCTGGGTCAGCACCACCTGGTCCTGGTCACTTATTAACAGCTACTTTATCTATTTGACCTTTTATCACCTGTTACCTAGTTACTCCACTTCCTTTCCTTTACTTCCGCTACCTCTTTACTCCATGTTAACTTTTTACTTTAGATTTCTCTGGCTTCCCTAGCTGATCCACTGCAGAGTGTCACAGATGTGGGAAGCTCCTCGACAGCTTCAGCTGCAGACAAATCACTGAGCTTTTCTGCTACATCTTCATTATCCCCATCTGCCCCTTTTATACCGTTGTCGTCAGCATTCCCACCAATTTCCTAAGCTGCCTTTGTGGCTTTGATATATTTAAAGAGCCTTCTATCAGCAGTTAGAGCATCCTTTGCAAGGCAATTTACTGATTTTTCTTTTAGCTCCTTTTATTTCCTGTTGTGCTGTGAGCTCACGTGTTTTATGGGTTTCCATGTTCTTAGACCACTTTGGGCTTTTAGGCTTGGGTTTAGGGATTTTTTTCTAGTTTCTGCAAAAATCAGTATCTTCAGCTCCCACTCCAAAACCTGAGAGAAATCAATTTAATCCTCCTGGGAACCCTCAAGAAGCGAAAGCTGCTCCATCTGCAAACACCAGGCATAAGGCTTTGAAACAGAGAGCATTAATGGGCTAAAAAAAAAAGGATGAAGGGTGAAAAATTGGGGAAAAATAGCAACTGATGACTTCGCAGTTGTCAAACTTGGCAAACGACAGTCCTCCTCCACAGGACTAGCAGATGAATGAGGCAGTGTTAGGCTTGCCTTGTTTGCCTTTCTGTGCTTGTTGGCCCTGGGTAACAACCCTCAGATTTCAAGCAGGATCCTCTGTTTCTGGGTTGTGCCAGGGTCCAGCCACCCTCCTGAGCCTGGGATGAAGCCAAGGTGGTCTCCCCAAAACCCTAGGGATGATGATGTTCACTGGGGCATCTGCCTGCATCAGCCTTCACCTGAGATTCCCTAAAAGCTCTCTGTACCCATGGTTTCTGTTGGAGAAGCCATTCCTAGAGAGGAGGGGAGCACTTCTTGCTAGAGGAGAGACTTCTTTTCCCTTGCCCATGTTCCTTGGATTGGAAGAAGTGCTCTTTCACCTTGAAAACGGTATCTTACCTTCATTGCTCTTACTTATTTATACCTCCAGCCTGGCACATCACATGCAGAATCTATGTATAAACAGTCTCATAATGGAAACAAGGGGTGGTTTTCACCAGCAGGTAATCAGAAAAATGCAAAATGCTTCCTGCTTTCAGGCCAGAAAGTTGCTGTCTTTCACATGCGAGTTTGGATGCTGGGCTTTGCTGGGGAGTGTGTGGTTGCAGAGTTTTTGAGCTGGTTTCAGGCATAAGCAGTGCAAGCAGCACAAGATCCATCAGGCCTGATTGAGCCCATCTTTACCCCACCATCTTGTCATGTTACTGTGGCACAGCTCCTCTAAGGCAGCTGTCCAGACCCAGGCTCTTATCCCACCACCATCCACAGCACCATACCCTTCCTCTTTCACCCTGCATCACTTGAGTATGCTCAGGTGTATCCAAAGGCATGGGAAGTAAGTAATCCCAATACACCCATACAAGTATGTGTTGTAACTATACAAATCTCTGTCCCAGCTCAGTTAGTGCTACTTAGTACATCCCCGTGCATATGTACAAAGCAATTACAATCTCCTGTGCAACTTTTGGACTAGGATAATAGTAAGTGGCAGACTAGAGTGGCACCACCATCTTCCCACTTCCTTTGCGGGTCATCCTGTGTCTCTGGGGAGAAGACGGATGGGAGATCTCAAGATATGAAATGAGTTTTGGCAGTTCTCTGAAGCCTCTTGCCCTGCCTGCATGCATCTCCTCTCTCAGACTGACAAGTGTTACTGAGGGTAGCATTCAGCTCCCCTTTCTCTGGATTTTGGAGGATGGGCAGCTGAAAGAAAGCACGAGCCGAATGGCAGCAGTCAAACACCACAAAGACTTATTTTCCATGATCACATTTCCCAAAAGAATTACGTGTTGCTGATAGCCAAACAGAGGAGAAATATCTGAGAGTCTGCTTTTTCAGCATGGAATTCCAGTCCAGATAAAATAGCTGTAGCTGCCTTTGAAATGCCAGAGTAATAGGGTTACAGTAGGATCTGATAGCCCCTCCCAAGCACAGGCTAAATGAGAACTGATTGCACTTGCAGAAGTTAGCTTTGAGCTAGAGCAATGAAAATTCCTATGCAATCAAATGACACAAGCACCTGATTATTTTTGCTCCTTTTATTACCAGTGACAGCAAATATCTAGGTATCATATCCTCAATAAAGTTTTGCTGCATTAAAGTTTCGTTTACTGTTGAGCTTTCAGCTGTACTTCCGACCCCTATTGGTTTGCAGAAGAGTAAGAGATAACACTTAAAAATCTTTTCATGGTCCTCTGCAGCAGAGTACTGTTACATGTATTTTAAGGATCCTCTGCACTAAGCTGATAGAACCAGGCGATTTACTTCCATGAAAGACCATGACATGTGGGCTTTCTCTTGATAAAGAAAAAACGTATTAGACTCCATGTAACCCTGAGTTTCAGTCTGCCGTACTAAGCAGAGGAGGAGCAGGTATCTAAGCAAAAGCAGCTGGCTGAATCAAGTAAGGCTACACTGAGCTTCATGACATTTTTTGCTATTTGTTCTGCCTGTATCCTACCCATTTTTCAGCTGGAAGAAAGAAACAGTGAAAACTTAGGAAAATAACAGAAATAAAGCTGCACCTTTTCTCACCAGGCGACTTCTGAACTACTGCTTGCTGCAGGCAGTTCGGAGAGAGCAGGGTCTACCTTCTTTTGCTAGAGAAGCCATGTAAAAAAGATCAGGACTGGTTAGTTCTCAGTTTTCAACTGCATAGCTGGTGAATGGGAGCTGGTTTTAGTTACCGAGAGGACAGGAACAACCCATCTGCATGCACATCCTGGTAACCTCTTTAGCCACACACAGTGTTCTTTACCATGGGCCTCCAAACTTGTCATTTAAGCTGAAAACACATCCTTTTTAGCTGTGTGACATTAACAGACGCATATACACAAAGCTGCCATCACAGAAAGCAGCTTGGCCGGCATTTTTAAAGCTGACCCAGTTGCACTAACTACCCAGTTCCCACCAAAAGCAATTGTGGAAAATTGGTGCCAGCCTTAAAACAATGAACACTTTAACTTCATTAATATTTAACAATATTTCTGATTAGAACCTCTGAGTGAAAGCTGTGTGCTGATGAAACTGATCTGCGCACACTTGCATCTAAACTCTTCACAAGTTTTAACATAAAATAGTCTCTGGATTTGTAAAAAAACCCACTTACACCACTGGGCAGCAATATAAGAAAGCCTTGGTTCTGTGAAACAATAGTGTTTAATAGGAAAAGTTTTTATAGGAAAAGCTAAAAAAACAAAACACAAAATATAACATGGAATTAAGTGATGCCGTAAATGAGTTTAACCTTTAAATATATGTAGATATTTGTGCATATATATAATACATATGTACATGGAAATGTTAATGCTAGTCAGTGGATAATGCATACTCAGTAAATATAGTAAAATGTGTATTCTCTTACAGATTTATTGAGAGTTTCTAAGAAATTAGAAAAAAAACCAAAACAAAACCCAAAAAACCCATAAACTTAAAATCTTCGACTGAAAACACAAAGAGTGTAAGAGAAAAAAATGCTAACGCTTTCCACAGGAACTGAGAATGTAAAATCAATGTGGTTGTGCAAGATGGAGAACAATAGTGTTTGTCTGAATGTATTGTTTCTTGTCATTGTATTGGGAAGGAAGGCTGCGTAAAAGATCAGACAAGTACCAATGTCTCTCACAACACATGTCAGCAGAGATCTGAACAGAATGCTTTCAGATAGGAAATTTTAGGGGTTTGAGGAGGGGGAAAAGACTGCATCTGATACAGTGTAGAGAAAAAGGTTAGGTTCTCATGAAGAACAGTTTTGATCTACCCAAAGCCTCTACCTGAAATGGAGTGAGCACAAATACAAGCAAAGGTCAGGGTGATGGCATTTTTCAGCATCACACATATTGCATGGACCATCTTCCAGAACTGAAAAACAGCAGGTTAAACCCCTGGTATCTTGTCTACACTCACTTTCTTGCCATTGTACTGGCCTCAAAGAATTCCAGTGTTCATTGGAGCCTGTCTTTTGAAAGTCGTTGTCTTCCTCCTACCCTCTGCTTCACTTTTCTCTTATTTCAGAGTTGTCCATGACCTCTTTCAAGCAGGGGTCTTCCTTTAGAAAATCTTCATAGAAGCTGGGGCTATGGATTTTGTTGTCTCTTCTGCTGAAGTAGCTGCATTGGTGAGAGGCTGTGAAACAATTTGGTCTGACCAATTGCTGTGGTGGTCATCCATCCTTCTACCACACTGGTTGCTTAATATTTGCTCTGCATCCTAAAGCCACCATGTCCCTGTGATGCTTCATACTAAAAAGAATTTGGACAAGAAAAGAAAGAAATAAAGAGTAATTCTGGGTCAGAGAGCTCCTTTCTCAGAATAGTTCAGCATGTAGCACACTGCATATGATAGCCCTCTGTCTATGACACTCCAGCTCTCAAGGAACACCAAACAGGCAGATTTTCATCAGTGAAAAGTTGACATCTTTGGAAAGTTAGAAATGATGAAATCCATGTGAAACTTATCAACTAACTAAACAGATGTTTTTCTTCTCTTAATTGGCAGCTTTTTAAAAGCTGGAGTTTTTTTTAAACATCAGGTTTCTGTGTGGTCTCTATTACAGTTTAGGCCTCAATTCTGCAAAAAATGTATTACAATTAGACAGTTTTTCTTCACTAAACAGGGGTAGATTTTTCCACCATAGAAGTGGAATTAAAATGCCATTTAAATAAGATTTGAATGGACAATGTTTTTCCCATTTAGTCGGCACATGTAGAACCCAGCAAATCAATCATATCACAGCTTAGCACTGCTCAAGCCCCCGCTCCCTCTGCAGCTCCCTTGCAGAGTTCATGGATAAAACAGGCAAGTATTTTCAGAACACACCGTCCAGCTAATGACACGCCTCTGCTGAACAGGCTTCCCCAGGCTGTATCAGTGCAAAATCTGTGCTAGCTTTTTCACAGCACTTTAGCCCTTTGCAATGCTGTAGCAACTGTAGAGGTTCTTGCTGTGAACTCAGCAGTGGCAGAGCAGGTGGGAGAATACCCCATCTCTGGGCACCTCTGCCAACTTAAGCTGACTGTGAATCTTGCATGAGACTGCAACCAAAAGGGCCACTGCAGCACCTATTGACACTACAACTGGCTTAAAAGAAGCACAGGTTGAAACAGGCTGTGATGCTTGCATGTGCACCTGTGCTAAAGGATGTGTTCAGTCAATGCAGACAGATGTCCTACAACACAACCGACCACTGGGTAGCCAAACTGTTGCTTAAACCCTTGCTCGTCACATACTGCTTCTGAGACTCAAGGGCTTTAGAAAGGTCTTCATAAGATGAGTGCTGATCTCTCTATTAAGGGATTTTTTTTTCAGCTGCAGCTACAGTTGTTTAGGTGCCTTTGTACCATTTTGGTCTTCTAGTTCAAAAGAGGAGGGACAGAGTGGAGTTTAGGCCCCAAACATGTCTGTAGCCCACAGTGCTACAGTTCAGGAATGCAATTCCTGTAGACTTGTGTCAAACACTTACCAAATCATCATAATCTCTCTCAGGAAATTGACCTTTGTTTGTGGAATGCTTCTCGTATGGGTTGTTTGGCTGATACCCTGGGTTCACGTGGCCGGAAGTGGTCTGGACTCTGGGGAACATCGTGTTCTGTCTATCAGCGTAGGTATTTGAGTTGGAATATCCTGTCTTTATCAGTCTTTTCTGCTCTGGATCTTGCCTGTGTTTGTTTCTTCAGAAGAAATGAAAGAACAAAGGAGGTTTTAAGACCTTTTAGGATGCCTTACTTAATAATAAATCTAACTTATTGAGTTGTCCACTCCCACCTTAATTTAAATGCTCAGTCCTGTTGTGAAACATGCAACGTATTTTTCTAGCATTCCTATTGCAAAACCCTTGTTATCAATGATAGAGTACAAAGTTTGGCATCTCTTATCACAGATGGGGCTAAGCTGCTAGGAGTGACAGAGGGGGACTTCGACCTTTTTCAACTAGTTCTTCGAGTGAAGGAGTTTCCTTCACCACCCCTAGCTCTAACTGACTATTCAGAGGAAGAAATGAGACATTCCTTAGGCCCAGTTAAAAAAAGTTGCCCTCATGCCTGCAGCCAAAGCTGGACACTCAAGTGATGCATTTGAATTGTCTGTGATCACAAGTCCATACATAGCATGCACATTTGTTCACCTGCTGGCAGGCTGTGCTACTATGGCCAGTCTTCTAGGCATCTTTACCTGGTCAGCACTGGGGAAGTGCTTGAGTATTTCTATATTTATTGTATGTAATATAGTACTTCTATATTTATTGTATGAAGGGAATTGAGGATGTGCAACTGCAATTGGGAATTTGCCAGCACACTAGGAATAGCAAGCATTAAAGAGATTTTTGACTGGAAATGTCGCCTGTATTGAGCTGAATGGGGCACGCCAGGCCTTGAGCTGCAATGCTAGCAGGGAAAGCTGCAGAGGGTCTGAATTCGGGCCACACAGCCTTCTGATATCAACATACTTCTTCAGTCTTATATAGATGCCGTATCAGTATTGGCTACGGCAGGATTAATGGGTTAGGTGTATGTTTTGAAGACTTGGCTGAAGCTTTCATAGTTGAATTCACAGCAAGAAAATAAATAAACACTTCTGGGAAGAGCACACTGGCAAAACCAAATTCTAATGGCCACATGACTTAAATGGACTTGTCTGCCCAACTAGGCATGCAACCACATTCACAGCCCCGGCACTCTAAATTTTGACTTAGTTCTCTACAAACTTGCAGCAAAGCAGCTTCTATTCAATTGTAAGAAATACTCTTACCTTACTGAAACAATAGAGACTGCTATCAGCAAACTCAGGATTATGGCTCCAAACACTGTACCCACTGTTATAAGGATGAGTTCTGTATCTGGGAAGAGAAAAACAAAACAGTAAACCAAACAAGAAACATCAACTGAAAACTCATGGTAAAAATTGAAAATTAAGTCTTCTCCCTGTCATCTTTCTATGAGGTGGGGTGATAGAAGAAATAAGGGAGAGAGGGAAGGAGGAAAGGAGGAAATGAGAGAAAGAGGAATGAAGAAAGGAAGAGAGGGAGGGAGGGGGGAAGGAAGGAAAGGAAGGAGGGAAGCAGGCAGGCAGGCAGGAAGTTTGTTGTCTCAAATTTGTTTTTAAATTCACAATGTGTTGATATTGTGCTGATTTAGCTTTTTCATTTGCTTTATGAAAAAGGCCTTAGAATTCCCAAAATTTCACTAGAAAAATATGTTCCATGTGACAAAAAAATGTCTTTCCTTCCAAACATTTACACCTGTTAAGATTCACTGTGCTCAACTACAATTACCATTCACTAATCTTCAACCTATCAAGCAAAACCAGAAGAAAACCCTTGAAAAGCTCATAGCTGTGGACGCAGGTATGTTAAACATGGAGAACAGTGTGAGACACCAAAGGGCCACATAGATAGACATTTTGCTCAAATAAAGCCAAAGAAGGTGTGAGAAGTGAAGAACCATAATCATTTGTTTTTCAACCTGCCTTCAACTGTATTAGATGTTCTGAGTTTAGACACATGCAAACAATAGAAGGCATGAATAATGTCTCCTCTCTCTCCTAAACTATATGATATAGAATCATAGAATCATAGAATAGTTAGGGTTGGAAAGGACCTTAAGATCATCTAGTTCCAACCCCCCTTGCCATGAGCAGGGACACCACACACTAAACTATGTTGCCCAAGGCTCTGTCCAGCCTGGCCTTGAACACCTCCAAGGTTGGAGCATTCACGACTTCCTTGGGCAACCTGTTCCAGTGCCTCAGCACCCTCACTGTAAAGAACTTCTTCCTTATATCTAACCTGAAGTTCCCCTGTTTAAGTTTAAAGCCATTACCCCTTGTCCTACCACTAGAGTCCCTAATGAAGAGTCCCTCCCCAGTGTCCTTGTCGGGCCCCTTAAGATATTGGAAGGCTGCTATGAGGTCTCCACGCAGCCTTCTCTTCTATGTTTCATATTGCTTAAACTAGCTACATCAGGGCTTCTATAACCCAGTAGGAATCAAAGCATTTTTTGTTATACTTTAGTTCCTTGCCTTTACTGAACAGCAAACAGCACTCAGTCATTTAAATTGTTTATCTTCTCTGAAAAAAATGCATTACTAAATAAAAGTGTAAGTGGAAACTGGAGAAGTTGAAGCAACCAATCACCTGCAAAACTGACTCAGAAAAGTCAAGAAGCTTTGGAAGGTCCATTTGGTTAGCTTTTTCAGATGGCTACAATTAGAGTACTAGATACTACGCAGTGCTTGCAAGGTAAAGCACAAGCAAGAACCAGTGGCTAAATATTAAAGCAGAAACGTTTCAAATGAGAGTAATCCACGAACTTTTTAATGGAGGGAGCAATTAATTACAGGAAAAACAAATCTATTAGTGGTGCTGAGTTCAGCATTGCATATCTTTAGATGAGGACTAAACGTTTTTCTGTCAAATAACCTGAGTTAGACTAAAAACTGTGTTAGACTGGTCTTAATGCAGAGATCTTAAAGGAAATGCTACTGTCTGTCTGAAGAGGATTTGTCCTTCCAGGCAACAGTGGAATTTCACTCATTTTTTTCTAACATTTTCCAGCTATCAATACAGCATGGTGGCAACCCTAATAGAGGCTAGTGGCACCCCTCATCTGCAGCACATCTCAGGCAGATTAAACACTACCACGTTTTTTTCCATGATATAATTAAAAATCAGAAATTCTTGTACTTACTGTTCTCGCAGTTGTCCCCAGAGTAGCCCACTGGACAACTACATGACGGAAAAAAGAAAAAAGAGTTAAAAAAAGAAAGATAATATCATCAAGCAGATGACCTTTAAGGCCCCTTCCAACACAAACCATTCTGTGATCACAAAACAATAGCATAATTCCACCTTTTATCAGCAATTTCTCCACAAGTTGTGTTCATTGCAAGTTTCCTCTTTAATACTATCTTTATATTGAATTCTTTAGTTTCACTGTTAAAATAAAGCAGTCTGAGACTTTCAGAATGATTGGTGAGCCGCACACTCAAAGTTTCAGATTCTCAGCCTGAAAAATGTTAAAAGGACCTAATTTCTCCAAAGAACTAAGCCCTACATCTCTGAGCCACATGGAATTGCTTCCCACTGTCTTTAACAAAAGCATCAACATAAGATCTATAAGGACTGGCAGCTTTTAATTTTCCTCCCATTCTAGTTTCTTATATTTAAAATATATTGACTTTACAGTAAGAAATATTCACTGTGTAGCAACAATAACTACAGAAAGAGCTGAATTAATGGATATGGGAAGTAAGGACCCTCTGCTTGTCCATGAGAACAGAACACAACCAGTCACTTATTCAGCTTCACCAGCAAACAACACTGCTCTGTTCTGATCCTAAGCTGACAGAAATTCCTGCAGAGAGAAAACCAAACCCAAATAACATAGGTCTGAAAGTTATCAAGGAAGGAGAGGTCCTTTTGATATCAGTGGAAAATTTCCAGGGATTTGGAGTGGGTGTTGCTTAATGCCTGTTGCTTACTAAATGCTCCAGCATACCAGTTCCCATGGCTCAGTTACTCTGAAGGAGTATCTCCTGATTGCAGGTGGGATAGAGTTAATTTTCTTCCTAGTAGCTGGTGCGGTGCTGTGTTGTGGCTTTAGCCTGAGAATCATGTTGATAACACACCGATGTTTTAGCTGTTGCTAAGTAATGCTGCCCCTAAGTCAAGGACTTTTCAGTCTCTCATGTTCTGCTGTTGAGGAGTTGCACAAGAAGCCAGGAGGGAGCACAGCCAGGACACCTGACCCAAACTAACACGGGGTATTCCACACCACAGCACATCCTGAGTATATAAACTGGGGGGGAGTTGGCTGGAAGTGACCATCATTGCTCAGGGGCAGGCTGAGCACGTCCCAGTGGGTGGTGAGCAATTGTATTGTGTATCACTGTTGTTTGTTGGGTTTTATTTCTCTTTCTCTTTTTGTTGTCTCCCTTTTTGTTACAATTATTTTTTTTTTATTTTGTTTTAATTGTTAAATATTTGCCAGCTGGGGTTAAACCATGACAGAATAGTTTATGTTTATGTGAGCAACCCTCAAAATAAGTGTAAAGTAACTTATCCTCTTCACTGACTCACAGATGACCTTGAATCTCCTTGAATTTCCCCTGAGGTATTATGAGTGCACACCAACAACTAATGCTGAGAGGTTAAAATTCCCTATCTTGTAATATCATGGGCATTTTTCCACCTGCTAAGGTACCTCTCTGATTCACATAGCTGCAGCCTGTTCTTCAAGATTGAGGGTGACCCCACGTTAGATGTTTTTTTCCCCTACCTTTGCCTAGAACATGGGAATACAAGAAAAAGCTGACTACTCACGGTACACAGTTACCAGTCTTGTTTTCATAGTTAGGCATGCATTTGCATGTTGGAACCGCTCCTACTATTTCACAGTACTTGCCGTGTTCTGAAGAACAGCTTTCACTGCACCCTGTATTTTCAGAGGGAAAAGACACAGAGTAAATTGAAGGTAGCCCCCAAAAAATCAACATTGGAGAAATCCCTCCCCCCCATCTTTTTCATTTTTTAATACGAGTGTAAACACACACAACTTTGTTGCACTTGAAAGCACCAGATGGTTTTTTTAGGGCTATGCCTGTGTAGAACAGACATTGAAATACAAAAGCACAAAATTAAAAGTAAATGGTCTCTGTTTAAAACCATTCAGCTTCATCAGAATGGAAATCTGGCTCAGTTCCATCCATAGGCTATCAATGACCTGCAGTTTGATCTCATAGCAGATGAATTGTATTGCAACTGACCTAAATCTGGATCAGATTTAGACAGGTTAGGGGCCACAAAGGGCCACACCTACACTGGGTCACATCTCACTGGCCCTTATTGTAGTCAGCTTTCATGATTTAACCATGAGTGTTTACAACATTTGTTGTTTTTCTTGAAATCTTATATCTCAGACTTCTTTTCTGTAGTGTGAAAATTTTAGTTTTCATGAGAAGAAAATAAGGTTCATCTCAGGTCTGTAGAAATATAATCAGAGTACTCATCAGAAGATTCAAACAAGCAAGCAAATAAAACCTCACAACTAACAGTTCCTAAAATACACATAAATCATTCTTCCCACAAAAACCTGTTTAAACACAGATAATTCAATTTTATAACTATCAACAAGGGACAGAGCTTTAAGAGATCATGTAGTCCATCGTGAGACTTCCAGCTCTGTGAGAGTCCCCACAGCTGCCTCCATGTAACATCTACAATTTATTCCCAAAATGCATCCTGGCAGAGAAGGCTGTAAATATAGGATTCAATTTAAATAGAACCATGAACTCATAGAATGGTTTGGGTTGAAAGGGACCTTAAAGATCATCTAGTACCAACTCCCCTGCCACAGGCAGGGACGCCTTCCACTAGACCAGGTTGCTCAAAGCTCTGTCCAGACTGGCCTTGAACACTGCCAGGAATGGGGCATTTTTCCATCCTTTACCTATTTAGGTTTCAATTCCTACCAAGAGTTTAAGAATGAATTTAATGAGTTGCCCACTCCCTGGTTTCAGTGATAATTTTATCAGACTTTAGTATTTTATTCTACTAGAACAGAATTATGGATGCGTTTAAAGTGAAACATGAGAATGTGTTTCTATGGCTTTCTTAGTAAGACAAACATTCTCTGATTTTTAAAGGTCAGCACATTTGCATAGCACCCTTTTCAAAAAGGGACTGAGACAGGGAATAACAAGGTCAGCCTTCCAGGGACAGATAAAGTAGCCAGGTTCTTACCTGAACAAGAACGTTCATCCCATTCTGTCTTTGTAAAACCACTTTTGCATACACATTCTGGATACTCAGCTTCTTTGCAGGTTGTGGTTTGGTCATCACAGTTAAAAGCAGCACAATACGTTGTAGCTTTAAAAGAGAAACAGTCAGGAAACAAACCTGAGCACTACTAATATAATTTCACAGAAAGGAGTGCACCTTCTCAGTAAATCATAAACCAATTATTTAGTAAGGCTGAAAAAATCCCAACTTGTAAGTTCTTTTTTTGGAACATCAGTATCGCAGGCATTTGGACCAGCCCTTTCTTTTCCCTAGCTCTTTACAAGTTAAGGTCCTGTTTCCATCACATCTTCTGACCTTCTACAGGTCTGTTTGTCAGCCTTCTACAACTGCCTCCAAACCTTCTAATCCCCCAGTCCACTAAGCGGGAAATTCTACCCGTAAGATCATATTCTGAACTCTGACTTTCCAACTTACCTTAAATCAACTACAGAAAAAAAACCAGCACTTATTTTTCTATGACTAAACTGTGAGGTCCATATCCCACGCAGTTCTACATAGATGTGAGTGTTTATGGGCATGCAGCTCATTTCATGATCAACATTAGTATGCTATTTGCCCAACATGTTGCTATTTAGATCCATGTCCCATGGGAATGGTTTACAAACCTCAGTGGGTGGCATACAATGGAGGGATGTGAGTGTCCTGGTGCTTTTTTTTGTTTCTCTTTCCCTCTCATGTTTAGGATCAGCACACAGGAAATGTCATGGTTAAGGTGGACACAGTCACCTTTAGAGACCAAAGTCAGACTATAAGCCAGGAAATGGACTTCTTTAATTATTAGCTGTGCCTTTTGCAAAAGCTGATTTCAAAATATGAGCATATTTAAAAAAAAAATAGAGAAAAAAAATCTGTATTTTTTTTAGAAAATCGTTCTCCAAGTATTACACTTTTAGTTATGCAAGACTTCACAGGTTTGGACCTATGAATCACTTAGTTCCATAGCTAATCAGTGAGGCCTCGCTTCAATTACCATAGTTAATTATGGAAGAAGTAGTCTAAAGAGAGTTTCATACTATTTTGCCAGTAAAATACTGGCTTATTCTCAGAAGCACAGTATGTGTATATATTTTATCCAGCCACTTAACACTCAGTGGGTTAAAATCAACATGCCACTTGGGAATAAGTATTTTCTTTCTCTTCTTTATGCAGGAAGTAGAAAGCCTTGGCAACAAAAAAGGCCAGCACTGAATGACTGAGCCTTCAAAATTACCTAAGATTGAACATTCAGCTCCTTAAAATCAACAAGGCTTATGCCCTGATGAGCTTTGCTGCACACTGAAATGTTCAAACCAGCTTTGAAGACAGGAACCTCTGTTTCTACTTATTTGCTTCACTGTAAGGAATTACATACCTCTGTAGTCAGAGACATAGGCCAAATTTTGTATTGCAGCACGTACTGCAGATATTATGTCAGTAGCTGTTTCATTGGTTACATTTGAGCTGTCCATAAACAGGTTTGTCACTGTTACACTCATTTGAGAAGAAGCTCTGCTTTCTTCCTGAGTCTCTCTGAAAATACAGATAGCGCCATTTTAAAGTCTTTTATAATCAACATGGATAGCAAGCTACATGCAAAGAAAAGAGAAGATTTCTGCCAAACCTCCTTCTCTCCCCTAGCTTCTTTCATCCCAAAACGTAGGCAGATGCTAGCTGGATTGGGTTCAGCTGGAGAGCATCAAATGCACAATAAGGTGCAACAGCCTTCTATAATGAGGATTTTTCTTCAATTAAACTGGGACTCCAGGTTGAGCCTGTTCATAGGAACCTCACTTAACTGTCACAATTGCAGAGACATGTTAGGTATCACTGGGAATGCTAGTTATAGAACAGTGCTATATCCCACAGTGTGCTAAAAGTGGAACATCCACTGTAGAGCTGTCTCAGCTAGCCCACTTCACAGACATATTGGAAATCCATGGGGTAAAAGTGGGGCCAGCATCCCAGAAACTTTAAAACTATGAAAAGAACAGGAGGCATACTGAACTGAACTCATCCCATATTCTTTCTTGAACTGGGCACTCCGTAGGAAACATTAAAATAGGCTGTGTAGGAAACGTATTGTGCTAAAAACAAACTGGCAAACTTACTGAATTTGCACGATGACAGTATCTGCAAAGCCATCTAAATCTTTGAGGATATCCTTAAACTATAAATAAAAACAAAAGAATTGGAGTTAAAGCAGAAACATAGACCAAAATCACATAAACCACTTAGGCTTCATTTGTAAAGTTTTGATCCAGAACATGATACTGTCATTACAAATAAAGCAAGCTGATCTGTAACATCCATTGTGCAAAGTATTGCAGAAAAGGTGCGGTGGGGTGGTGATGCAGACCAGGAAATATGGGAGAGCAGTGGAGGGATGAAGAGACATGAGCTGAATGGATGTCAGTCAGTGCATTAGAGTTGACTGGCTAGACAGCTACAGATACTTCCTTGCAGACTCATCACTTAGAAGGATATCTCTGTGATACTAACCTACAAATAAGTAAAGGGAAGAGGGAGAAGCAGACATCCTTAGAGATGGCATGTGTCCCTAAGATGTAGTGAAGTGGGATCATCAGGGGTTGACCATGACCAGGGGAGAAACACAGCACTGATGAAAGCACTGGGGGTTGGATGGGGTCTGTAGAAAACTCACTGTTCTACCTCATCCTGTGTGAAGCAGGGAATAACTGGCCCAACAACTTGTGTGGCAGCTGCCTCCAACTGCCACACAAGCAGAAGGCACGGTGAGAAAATGGTAAGATGTCTAAGCCAACTGAAATGAAAGCTGAACTATCCTTCTTTTTAACAAAATAAAAAATTCTTTCCTATGCTGTTTTCACTTTTGCTTATTATTACATATCTATTCTAGTGCTGCAGATAATTAATTTCTGTAGCCATGTCATGAAAAAATGTTGGACAAAAAAGCTGATGAATATTTTTTTTAACATTCTGGAAGGACAATTTTTGGTTGCTTTCTCATAAAACATTCAAAGCAAGCAATAGAATAACACGAAGAATTTGATAACCATTTTTTAATGAATTCTGATCAATATTTGGTGAATATTTTTTGGTCAGCTGTCTGGTAGAGTTGCATACCTCTTCTTTCTTACTTCCAGAAAGTGACATAAATAAATCTATTTGTTTCAACATGGCAGTATAAATTTATCCAGGAAATCCATTACCAGGTTTTATCTATAATCATAGAATGCTCAAAACTTGTAATATCTATTTCACTAATAGCATTAAAATTCTAATACTGGTATGCTTATGGAAAAGGTTTATTATTTAGGTATTTAGACACAGCTGGACAGTCATTCTGAAAAGTCTGTGTGTGTGGAAATGACCGCTTTCTTTCAAAAAAAAAAAAAAAAAATAAAGCAGCTCATTTTTACTCATACCACTGAGTGTTACTGAGCTTCCAGCAAACAGTTGCGATCAGAAGAAAAATAGTTCCTGGAGAGGGAATGATGAAAGATAGAGAGCAATTTATGGCGAACTTCCCAGAATAGAAGTGGCATTTAAAATGCAGATATTACTTATTTCAGGTATCTTCATTTCATCAAAAGCCATGCATGTACTCATCTGAGGGGAAAATTCAAGTCTGTTGTGAATAGGTCTAAGATAGCGTGAAGCATTCTTTGAAACAGATTTCTCAAGTGAGAAATTCTAGGCTCCACACTAAAGGGAGCATGTATCCCCTCTGTATGCATGACATTCAGGATGAATTACACATACAGAAAAAATCCTCAAAGATCATTACTCACCAAAGTTGTTATATTTTTGAACACTTCTTCATATTCCGGAGAATTTATGATTTGAACACTGCTACTGTAAGGTTTTTTCAGTGTAATGACCCCTGGGAATATTTTCGCTGGAATGAGAACAGAGAATATTAATTAATTACAAAGCATCCAAATAAGTTGGGTTCACCTTAGAGTTCTCCAGTTGTCAGACATGGGGAAATACAATGCAGAAATCAGTCACTGATATTTTTCCTATAGTGCAGGAATTAGTAGGGGACAAATGTTTGCTCAATCAATTCATCCACAATGGGAAATGTTCTCTGACTACCTGGGAAGCAAGGAGGATCCTGTGCTCAGTCAGACTGGCCAGACTACGAATAATGTTAAACTGTAAACATGGTCTGAAGCTACCAAAAGACTCAGTCTGAGGTGTTATAGCATTTAGTGAGAAAATATCCATATCAAGAACTTGGTGAGGCACTGGAATAGGTTGCCCAAGGAAGTTGTGAATGCTCCAACCCTGGAGGAGTTTAAGGCCAGGCTGGACAACATAGTTTAGTGTGTGGTGTCCCTGCTCATGGCAGGGGGGTTGGAACTAGATGATCTTAAGGTCCTTTCCAACCCTAACTATTCTATGATTCTATGATATGCAGCCACTAAGCAGCTCATGTGGTTCACCACATCTGAGAAAGTAATTCAGTGTCTAACTGCTTCTTTAGGCTCACAAGTCACTGTAAGAATCCTGCTTGCTGGCACTTAAGTAAGAAGCCCTATTTGCTCACACACTTGGCCTTCAGCAGCATCTCAGAGCAGAGATGCATTTCAACAAGACTGTGATGAGTGTTTAGCAATAGGGAAAATCAAGCCGTTTATTCAGAAGTCTTCATGGGTTTGGGTATTTTTAAATCCTAGCCATTAATGTTGATGTCAGGTTTACACTTGCATCTTCCCCTCCTTTTCACTCATTTTAATCTCCAACACCCCTGACAGAGAACTTGTCTTCTTTTCTTAGCACTTTAACCTCTTTGGCTCTTACTGTTTTGTGAGATAACAATCTAGGTCATTGTAGCGGTGGCTGTCTGCAAAGCAAGGCACCATTCAGCAGTCACTTTCCCAGACTGATTATGTTTTCATTTATAACATGAGAACAAGGGATATGGGAAATAAAATTCACCTGAGCATTTATCTGTGAAGTAAATACAAATATAGATTGCCCTTCTGCAACTCACCTGCATGACAATTCCCGTTGCTATAGTAGAATCCATATTGGCACTGGCAGGTAAAACTGCTATATAAAGCAACACATCTAGCCGTTTTTTTTCCACAAGGGTCTGGGTTGCAGAAGTCCCTTGCTACAAAGAGGAAAAATATCAGGATTTCTATGAAATTGCAGTAGCCAGTTCATATACAAAGTAGATCATACATGAAATAGTTCATATCTACCACTAAAGGAAACTACCAGGAATGTTTTATAGAGTATAGGTGCAATTAAAGAGCACATGGCTATGTTTTGCGTGTTTGATGTCTGATTAGTAACCATTTTCCATACACAGTCTCTCAGGATATCACCGTGAGGACATAGAGTAAGGCTGAAATTCATTATCTGTCATAGTAAGTATTCACCATTTAACTCTACTTAATACTTCTAAACCCCCAAAAAAGTATATCAAGGATTGTCAAAATCAGTGACTAAGAGAAAAAGGCATGCTACAATAGTGTGTGTGTGTCTTTAATCCTGAGCTGGTATGCATTTGCCTTATTAAAACACAGTGTCATGGTGGGGTCCTTACCTGCAGACACATTAATAAAATGAAAGTTCCCAAGTTAATTATCATAGTATACATGCCTAAATAGATATCAGAGTATGCTGCTAAGAAATTTGTTGCAGGGCTTATAACTGTCATCATATGACTAATTATATTAACTGGCCACTATACTATACTTCTTCAGCAGTTAAACTTCACAGATTTGCACTAATTGCTGCCTTCTACTTACTTGCTGGCGTTAATGCAGAAGACAATGTTGGGTTTGTTACTGGAAAAAGCAAAATATTATGTCAGCCCTGTTAGTGTCTTGTTACACTGAGGCCACTGAACACAGCATGGTATGATGCCTCCAAACCTTTCCTGGACCCACTTCTACCTTGCCCTGCACTCTAGTCAGTTCCTTGCCCTCATTTCTTGCAATCTGTTGCTCAGAGTGATTTACCCTGCATGTCTGCCTGTGATACCTCTTCTCTGGCAACCTCTCTCTCCACTTGATTTGCCCTCTTCCTGCAAATTTTCTTTGTCAGAACGTTGTGCAGGCTCCGCACACCTCTTCTTCTCCCCCAGTGCCAACTTAGTCATTGCTACGCAAGACTAGGGCAAGGTTCTTGTTTTCACCCTCGCAGCATCTTAACTGTATGTGGAGCATCCTGTAGCTCATACCTCTGTCCTGAGCCAAACCAGGTCATCTTAAAGTCTTAGAAGATTAGTAACACTACAGGAAAGGGTCCAGTTAAACTTTCCTTGAAAATCAACCTGAAAGCCTAGCCTAGAAACATGCACAGCAATAAGAAACAGAAAACTCTCAGAAAGATGAGATAGCAAATGCACCAGAAGAAGGAGATTTAGCAAACAGAAGAACATTAGAATCCCCACAAATATTTAAACTTATTTTTCATACAGTACAGTCTTCTCCTAAAATACAACTATACTAAGTAATTACATACTACGTAAGAATTTTAAACTGGTTATTTTGGCAGTATACAGAATTTATTACTTTAAAAATAAGGGAAATTTATCCAATCCGGTATAGACTGTATTGCACCCTGGGACTGGTTCACTCCAATCCTGCCTCAGAAGGGGCTGACTGAGCACTTCTGCTCCTTACCATCACTTCCTGAGGTTGCCGATGGCGTTGTCTCAGGCGTTGTCTCAGGCGTTGTCTCAAGCGTTGTATTGTGGATTC